CTGTCATAACGTCCAACAAGCAAAATCCCTTGTCTTGGGGTTTCTCCCACCACTGCTCTTACGGATATGGACAGGTGACGGCTTCTGGAAAACGGAAGCACCCACCTGCCTTTCACCAGCATGAGGATGCCTGCACGGTGGTTGGCAGTCAGGTTCTCACGGGCGCTTATCAGCATTCTTCTGTGCACTGGACCACGGGATAACCACAGAGTAATAATCATCCTACAGCACTTCGGGTGTTCCTGCTGCCTTCATTTGAGGAGTTTAATGAGATCCGAGGAAATTACATTACAGTATCTCTGAAGGCTGTTTCTGTATCACACGCCCTTATCTCTCTGGCACGTCTCCTGGGTTGTCAGATGCCACCTATCAGGTGTTGGACTGGAGGCTTTGCCCACATTATCCAATTTAAGCCCGGCTGCAACCCCACAAGGGAGTGAGCATGAACACCGCCCTGCACGTGAGGACACCGACTCCTCTGACGCTCTGTGCCAGAATTTCAAATGGGGCCATCCTGTCCACAGGGTGTAAGGTTTGGGAGCCCAGGTCTGGGAGTCAGGCGGCCCTGAGCTTAATTCTGGAGGACTGTGGACAAGTCAGCAATCAGCTGAGGTCCGGGGTTCTCATCTGGAACAGGGGGTGATCCTGTATCTTACAGCAGCGGCTTACCCTTGGCCGTACATGCAGGTCACATGGGGAGCTTTCAGTAAGCTGGATGGCTAGACCCCACCAAGGCCAATTACATCAGAAGCACGGGGGTGAGGGTTCACCTCGCTCCTCGCTCCTCGTCCCCAGGGGTCTCTCTCACGGTTCTGAAGGCCAGAAGCCCTAAGTCAAGGTGAGGGTCCAGAGGAGGGTTCTTTCCTGCCTCTTCTAGCTCCTGGTGGCTCCAGGAGTTCCTTGGTCTGTGGCCGCCCTTCAGCCTCTGCCTCAGACTTCATGTGGCCTCTTCTCTGTGTCTTTTCCATTTCTGTTTCTTATAAGGACACTTGTCACTGGATTTAGGGCCCACCCACTTAATCTAGGATGATCTTATTTCAAGATCCTTAGCCTTATTACATCTGCAAAGACCCTTTGTCCCCAGGTGAGTTCCCATCCAGAGGTCCAGTGGTGAGGACCAGGACATATCTTTGGGGGGGTCACCAGGTGACCCACTACAGAGAGCTTTCACTGTGTTTTCTGATTGCACTGGGTTGGGACCCAGGAGTTTCAAGGTGTGTAATCCCTTAATCACACTGAAGTCAAATGTTGAGTCCTTTAAAAATAGGCCAAATCCTAAAACCAAACTGTGGGAAGGTCCAGGCAATTTTTAGCATCAGAGATAAAGGTTGGAAGCTTATAAACCTCATTTAAAAATACACCTGGACATGAAAGTTTGAAATGTAAAACAACCCAGTTCTTTTATAAAGAACAACATAAGTGATGAAACAGTTTAAATCAGGACCAAAATGTTGTAGCAGTTATAGAAAGGTTTCTATAGCAGTTTCTTAAAGGTTTTAAGAAAGGCCAACTGATATGTAAATGTACAGTGTAGACATTTATGTTCACAAAGGCAAGTGAGAAAACGAGAGTTAAATGGTTTGGGGAACAATAGGTAGTGGGGTGCGGGTGGGTGTGGGGTGGGAAACAGGAGAGATGGAGCCCAAATGGGGAAGAGGAGAAAAGTCTGCCGCCAGAATATTTGAGATAAGACCCGAAGGTTAGATTTTTTGTTTTCCTCATCTTCATTCCCAGGCATTCAGTTGGAAGTTCATCTCTGATCTTGGATTTAGATTAGAGGAGTCCTCTGGTCCTCCCTCCCCTCCCTCTGGCTCTTTGAAAGTAAGTCCCTAATTACAGGCCCCATCTGAGATTTCCTAGATGAAATCAGCTGCTGTAGATGTGACACCAGACTTGCAAAGAATCAGCACAGTGTTGCCATAAAAAGCCCAATTGTTAATTGCTTCTTTGGCATCTGGCTGTAACAACAAAAAAAAAACACCCTCTCCCTGTTTCATATTAAAAGTAAATGTAGTGGAAAGAACATTGGGCTAGAATCAGGAAAGGCTGAAATTCTAGTCCCGGACCTGTTACCAAGCGCCTGTGGTTTGGCGCAAAATATTTCACTTCCCCTTTGGGCTTCAGTGCCCTTAACCATAAAACTGAGGACATGCAACCAAATCGTCACTTCGATCTTAAAAATTCTATCCTGTATCTTGAGAATACAGTGCACTTCTCATTTCCATCTAGCCTTTCCCTAAAACCTTCTTTTGCAATAGCCTACTGTGATTTTATAATTTTGTGGTGCGATCAGGAGCCATACAGATGTAAGCATCCACATAATTTCCACTGTGCAGACAGTACCTTTCCGGTCTCATTCGGAACTGAAATTTGCTATGAGGCCCCACAGTCCGTAGCTGCTCTGGACATGTGACCCACCAGTGTTCCACACGTGATACTGCAGAGTCTCACTTTGTTCTTAGGGAGTCTGGAACATACACGAGTGTGGCCTGAAGTGACACAGCATCTCTTCTGCCACAGTGCATTGGTCAAAGAAACTCAAAGGCCAGTCTAGATTCAGGGGGAGGACAGATAGCCTCCTTGATAAGAGGAAGAACATGCTGGCGCAACGAGGGAAGGGGTTGGCAGTGACCTCTTTGGAGATTGTCTACTGTATCCCTGGTGATACATCTCTTGGCTTATTGGTCGTCTCTTTTTATTCTTAATGGTGTTATGTGGTATAGAAGCACAGGGCAGGCAGGAATTAGTCCCATGGCATTAAACACCAAAGCTTTTACTACAAACTCCAGGGTGCTTTGGACTGTAGGACAGGACACGTTACTCAAAGTCTTCACTGACCAGCTGGGGAAGCGCAGTCATGGTTTATGCTGATGGAGTACTTGCTGGGGGCCAGACCCCATGCTTGTGCCTTTTCCGTGTACCATGTAATGAAAGTATCATAACCTTTCCAGGCCTGTGCATTTAATTTCAGAGGCAGTTTCGGGGTTGGTTCAGGTGATAAAAAGACAGCATGGCCAAGTTGATGCCAAAGAATCAAAAATGACACCCACACTCACGATCAACAGCCCTTCCCTTCACAGAAGCACCCCACTGGGGTACTTACTATGCATGCTGTTTTCTTTCCCCGACTTCTAGAATCTCTTTTGTCGGTTTTGTATTCCATTATATATCTCTCCCACTCTGGTCCCTGTCAACTCATGGGCCCACCATTTTCCTGCAACTGATGCAAACTAGGAGGGACCCTGGGGGAAGGGCAGGGAACAGACATCATCCGGCTACAATAGCATAGTCAGTAAAATATAATTTTTAAAAAAGATGATCCAAGTAGAGTTGAGTGTGTTCTCTGCATGGAGGGAAGTTGTCTGCAACCACACACACAGCTGAGGCCCTTGCACACCCCTTGGGACAGAGAAATCAGGTGGAGAGACGGTATACTGTGTCATTCCCCATTCCGCACGGGGCCCACACTGTACATTTGGTAGACATGTGCTTAGGACAATGACTATTCTGTCATTTTATGTAGCAAACCCAGAGCCAGCACACACACTGAAAAATCCCCCTGCAGCTCCGTGCAGCATTTTTCATTGTGGTTGTCTTTTTCACAATTTTATTTTATTTTTTGGAGAAAGAGAGGGAGAGAAACATCAATGTGTGATTACCTCTCACTCGTCTCATACTGGGCACCTGCCCTACAACCCAGGCATGTGCCTTGACTGGGAATCAAACCAGCGACCCTTTGGTTCACAGGCTGGCACTCAATCCACTGATCCACACCAGCCAGGTCATTTTTCACAATTTTATTGATACAAGATTGACATACCATAGAGTTCAGCCATTTTAAAGTGTTCAGTTCCGTGGGTGTTAGCACATTTACAGGGCTTTGAACTACCACCTTAAATCTAAGTTTAAAACATTTCTATCACCCCCAAAAGAAACTTTGTTCCCATAGCAGTCATTCCTGACTCAGATCCCAGCTCCTGGGGTCCACAGTGTTGTGGATGAGATGAGACAAATTCACAGGGACTATCGAGTCCTGTGGAGGAAGGGACGGCGTGGCTTCTCTCTCAGTGGTTGACAGGCTTCGATTGGTTCAGTTTGCACAGGAATCCAGGGTGTATACATAAAGCTTATCAATCATTGTCAGGCAGAAATGATTAAACAATAGATAACATCCAGAGAACTCTGAGGGCTTATTCTGAGTCAGGGTCAGATAGTAAAAGGGCCATAAAACTTTGGGGAACAAACTCACTTCCTGGTTGGACCCTTATCATTTAAATTGAGGGTATTAGCAAAGGAGGTTTCGTAGGATTTTACGCATTCTTTCTTAGGTCTGATTGCCCCAGGGAACCACCCTTTCTAGCACTGGGTGGCACCCACCTCCAGCATTGTTTCAGGCTTTAAGTCAGGCAGGGGAAGTAAGGCAGCCAAGAGATTAGGAGACTTCTTGCAGACAGAATGAGGATTCAGGCTGTATCAACGCCCAGGGGTGAGGGTCCGTCACCCTCTTTTTTCTATAGCCCCCCAAGTCCTTCCCTTTGGGCCCCTTCATAACTGTGCCTGTCTTAGGTCACTCCTCTTTTGAGGAATCTGTCATTGGCTAACCAGTCATCTGCCTGGGGCCAAGCAAGGTAAAAAGAAAGGGGGCAGAGGTAGTCCTACAAGGAAAAAAAGCTTTGTCTCCTAAGTGGCTTATGGTGCCAAGGTCCTTTACTCAGCCTTAGCCTTGGGGTATTACAACTTCTCAAACCAGGCAGGGCAGTTCCCAACTCATTTCCTCTACTATTCGCCCTCCCCTCCCCAAGTTCCCTGGCCTTAGGCTACCAGCCTACTTTCTTTCTCTGTGGATTTGCTTGTTTTGGATATTTCATATAAATGGATTTATACCCTGTGACCTTTAGTGAATGGCTTTTTTCATCTAGCTTTACTTATTCACTTCTCTTATGTCATCTAAATGATGGTTGAACTTTTAAGTTACCATTTCTTTGGTATATTTTTTCCAGGATCCTAAGCACTTCAAGTCAGAGAAGACAGGACGGGGACATTTAAGGGAAGGCTGGAGAGACAGTCATCAGCCTATCATGTGCTCCTACAAGCTGGTGACCGTGAAGTTTGAGGTCTGGGGGCTTCAGACCAGAGTGGAACAATTTGTGCATAAGGTAAATGAGCCAACAGCGACTCCTGAGCTGCAGACAGTGTAATTATCTTTATGGTGAGCTGGAGTGAGTGGTGCTCGGCAGATGCACAAATGCTGAGCCAACCTGAAGTAACTACATCCAGACAACCCCGTTTTCATAAAAATGCATTTTACATATAGGTTTAAATTCCTTCCACTGATAGATGTAATACACCACACCTCCTCTTCTGTAGCCTCCATGTCTGCTGGGTGAGTGTATCTGGGAAATTGGGCGTTCAAAACATATTTCTCCCATACGGAAGCAACCCCAGTGCCCATCAACAGACAAGTGGACAAAAAAGTTGTAGTACATATATAAACAATGGAATATTTTTACCCAGCCCTAAAAAGGAATAAAATCTTAACCATTTGCAACAGCATAGATGGACCTAAGATGGTATTATGCTAAGTGAAATAAGCCAGATAGAGAAAAACAAATATGATTTCACTTATATGTGGAATCTAATGGACAAAATAAATGAATAAACAAAATAGAAACAGACTTAGAGACACAGAGACCAGACTGACGTTGCCAGAAGAGAGGGGGCTTAAGGGGCTTGGTAAAAGGGATTAAGAAGTACAGATTGGGCCCTGGCTGGTGTGTAGCTCAGTGGATTGAGTGCCAGCCTTTGAACCAGGGGGTCCTCGGTTTGATTCAGTCAGGGCCTATGCCTGGGTTGAAGGCCAGGTCCCCGGTGGGGGACACATGAGAAGCAACCACACATTGATGTTTCTCTCCCTCTCTTTCTCCTCCCTTCTCCTCTCTCTAAATATAAATAAATAAATAAACATTTTTTTAATTAAAGGTTTTATTTATTAATAGAGAAAGGGGCAAGGAGAGAGAAGGGAGAGAAACATCAATGTGTGGTTGCCTCTCGTGTGTCCCCCACCAGGGACCTGGCCTGCAACCCAGGCATGTGCCCAGACTGGGAATCGAACCGGTGATCCCCTCTTCACAGGCCCATGCTCAATCTACTGAGCTACACCAGCCAGGGCAAAAAAAAACCATTTTTTTTTTAAAGAAGTACAAATTGGTAGTTACAAAATAGTCAATGGGTGTAAAGTACAACATAGGAAATATAGTCAATTATATTGCAATAACTGTGTACGGTACCAGGTGGGTACTGGAAATATCGGGGACCACTTCATAAAGTATCTGATTGTCTAACCACTATGCTGTACACCTGAAACTAGTACAGAATAATGTAAACTGTAATAATAAAACAAACTTAAAAAAAACAACCATACTTCTCCCTTTGGCATGGGGCTAATCTAGTTCCAGGCATGGCTAGGTATACATGGGTTCCATACAGAGTCTTGGGTTTATCCGTGTGTGCAGTCGGCAGGGACAATTCTCACTCAGGCCCTGCAAGGGTAGACCCCTGAGGCAGAAGACGCCCTAAGCAGCAGAACGAGAAATCCCAGTAGTCTCGTTAGATGTCGCAACTGCAGACTTTCTGCTCTTATGGTAATTCTTTCACCAAAGGATTGGTAACAGTCTCAACACACAGATTTCAGTTTTATGACCACTTTGGCTGACACGTTAATTTTGGAGCAAGAATTCATTTAGTAATTATTCAAGTTTGTTAGGGGTTTCTAACATGACCTCTGACCTCACAGAAACAAAAATTTGCAGTGTTGGGTACTGCCCTTTGTAACTCCTTCCATTTCCATAAAAATAAATTCTACCCAAGTTGTCTCTGCATTCCACATAGGCTGGATATCTGTTTATTTTTCCACTTAAAAACTGATTAAAAAATAGCTTTCTGAAATTCTTTTGGAGGCATTGGAATTTAACCTTAATGTGCTGAGCTTTTTGTTACTTAGATGGATTTGTCTACGGGGAAGGGAGGCAACTGACAATAAAATAGGGCTACCAGTTGACAACAAAATGTATAAATCTTGAATTTAGCTCCAAGAAATAGGTGAACCTGGGCTCATGATAACAGCAGACTCTGGAACAGATTTCGGAGAAATGCGCCAGCCTCCTGCTGAGCTGCAGAGCCATGCTGCCTGCCCAGAGGTGGGAGCTGAGTGAGACACAGAGAAATCAAGGTCTGGGACCTCCTGTTGTCCTTCTGTGTCCAACTGTTCAACAGGAAGACAGCCAGGGCTCCCAGAGTATTAAATACGTTCCTGCCTCTGTTCTGCGTCTATCTCAGGCTCTGCCTTCCTAGACTTCCTACATTCCCCTCCCCCCCTTTTTTTAACCACAGGTAATCTCTTCCTAGGGCCACTCCCACATTATTTCCTTCTCCCACAAAGCATATTTAGATCGCCGCAAGGCTCATTGTGTTTCTGTTCTCACAGGTGACTTTGACTAGCTTCGAGAATCTCTTTCTTTAAAATACTGTAGCAATTAGGCCGTAGTTATAGGCATTCCTGTTGTCCGTTTCCAAATATAATGAAGTGTTTCAACACCCCCACGACACACCTGCTCTGGCCCACGAGCCGCTAATGAGTTTCTGAGGCTCCCATTTGCATGGGCACTTTTCTCCGAACACCTTTGTTTTTTAAGAATCTTTTCACAGTTAAGGGGGGAAAATGTTGGAAAGCGAGCCATTAGCACATTATTGAATCCTTGTTTCCAAGCAGACAGCTGTGTTGTGCTTAATGTAATAGAGTATATTTACTGCTGCCTCGACACTGTTCTTTTGATTTCCGTGAATTTGACACACTCAGCACTCGGGTACACACGGCTTCGTGTTTTCTTATTTTCATGATGAGTTTCCTCCTTAAGCCTCACTAGATATCCAGAGTCCTGGGCTAATAAATACTTTACTATAAATGCTTCCATCATTTCCACAAATTCACCAAATTAAAGTCCTTCATTTATTGATACATGCTGGAACCTTGCCTGAGAGATTTTTGACAATTGATTTGTTTGGTCAGAAGAAAGGATTGTTGTTTGAGTATACAAGAAAAGTGAAAAGGCGTATTTATGGAGGACCAAAATAAAAGAATACCCTGAAATGAAAGCACATGAACAGGGTTACACATGCACAAACTGTATCTACAAATTTTTTCTTTGTCCACTATTGTCATCATGTGTCACCATCAGAAATAGTCTCATTCCTTTTGTCTCTAGTCAGGCTTCTCACTGCTACTGTGTTCTGTTCTAGTTTGGGTCTTTTCTTTCATCTCTTTCAGTAATAGTTCACTGCGTGTGCTTTTTTCCCCCCTTCTGTTTCATGAGTCAAGCCTAGAAAGGTATTTGCTCATCTGGTATCCCACACCTTCAGTCATTTAGAGAAAACCAACCACTATTTAAGCTATTTCACCAGAGAAGCAAGACTGTTAAGTGCTCTTTACCTAGAGGTGACTTGCTGCCCAGAAAAAGTTCCTGATTTCTAACATTTATGATCCCCCCCCCCACACCAGTGAGACACACCCTTCTGCAAATGAAAAGTAGAACTTGCTCTATGCAAAGACAAACAAAAGGAAAAATCTCAAGGTGATTAGCCTGGAGATTCATTCCGATCGTTGCTGAGACTGCCAAGCCCTTGTTGTTGGTTTGTGCACACCTCCAGCCTGACCTGCAAATAAAATGGACATTAATTTACACCAAGGGCTTGCACGCCGTGCAAAGGGCTGAGGGTAAACAAGTGCACAATCTGTGTGATCATCATCACATAGGGACAGAGGGATGGAGAGATTTATAATCGCCAGGATTCTTAGAATTGAAAATGGTCTATGTTCCAGATAGTTTTACTCAAACGCGGTATTGTTTCAATGTCCTTCTTTCCCTGTTGTAGGTGGTCCGAGATATTCTGCTGATTGGACATAGACAGGCCTTTGCGTGGGTTGATGAGTGGTATGGTAAGTCAACTTCTCCAGATAACTTGTAGAACAATTTCATAACAGGTTGACTTGGGATTTCAGTCCATCTAGCCTCCTGTACTACCTAGAAAGGCAAGAACGAAGGCAAGGCTACCGCATACTGCATCAGAAATAGCACTGTTCATGGAACATAATGAAGACAAATGTAACGAGAGAAGCTTGCTCTAAAATAGCTCCAGTACTTAGCCGTTGACTGAGTAGGACCTCAGGGTGTTTGATGCTTGCATTCTTGACTTGCATACAGGACTCCATAAATCTCTGTTGGATGGGTTTCAGTCTCATCCTCATTTTTACCAAATGTCAAAGTGAAAGCTGGCTCAAGCCATCATATCAAGTAAAAGCTGTCCTTTGATTTACTTGAAACCCTCCCTCACCCAAAACAAAGATTCAGTAAGAATTCAAGGGCAGAGGCAAAGGTGCCCCTTTAATCCTGAGACTATGGTTTTTGGCCTTTTTACTTATTTTTTTTTTTTAATGTGATTTGGGAAGAGTTAAACAACTTCTGCACATTTCTAGTAAATGAAAGCGTTTGTCTCTCGTCCCATGATGGATGGACCACCCTCCCCAGGTACTCAGCACCATCGCTTTGTCCGTGAGAATCTACATTCCCGGGCTCAGTCCTCAGAGGCTAGTGCCCTTGACTATAAATAGAAACAAACAGACCTAGTTGGCAACTCGGGTTAGAGCCGATTACCTAATGAAATGCCCTTCTCCTCGGCCTTATTTGAAGTCACACTAAATTTGTTCTGAGTGCCACCTCGATTGCATTTGGGGGCTTTTCTGTCCTTGTTTCGCCAGTTCCCTTCCCCTTCTGAAGGTATCGACATGAAAGTGGGAAATAGGTTGGACTGAATGGGCAAAGGCAGTAAGTGGTTGTTAGTAACGTCGTTAGCTATTTCTGAGCCACATTTTTTTTTAGAAACATGGTTCTGTAGGCCACCGGCTTTTTATATTTTGCCATTTTTCCCAGATCAGCATCTTCTGAAGAACAAATGGGTCTTCCTTGAACAGATTCTTTTGAAGCCTCACCGCTGTCTTGACACATACCCCCCCCCCGCATGCCACTCATACAGCGAGGGGCGCTGCCCCACCCCATGGTCGTGCCGCCTCCCTGAGACCTGCTTGTGGTTGTGCTGCATGAGGCAGGCGGAGGGCAAGTCTGCTGTGATTGCTTCCCCTGATCATTAAACCAGTCTTTCTGGTTGTTCTCCCCCACAAAGTAGCTTTACTCAGACTCTTAGAGGAGCACAGAGCCCCCAGAATAGGTTAAGAACTAATGGTCTGTCCCAGCTTGGATTCCTCCAGGCTCCTGGTTTCCTTACACTTAGAAAACAGCAAAAGAAGAGTCAAAGCACGATAGGCCCAAACAGATTAGAAGTTTGACTAGTGAAGGGGGACCTGCAGGGCCAAATATCGTCCACTTTGAGGACCAAGCAGATTTAAGAAAACAGCATCACACAGGGTAGCCAGGTCCTGATCAAGAGGACAAGCCACTGCAAGCCTGTCATTCAGGAAGAACGGTTTGAGTAGAGGCCGGATCTAGAAAGAAGCAAAGTTGTGGGTGGGTCTCTAGTAACTGAACTGCTGGAGTATGAAGGATGGGGACCAATTCAGCAAGCCAAGCCTGGCGTAAGGAAGAGACTTCAATACTTTTAGACCAAAAAAAGAAAAATCTCTAACTATTACAGGGGCCCAAAGCTAGAATAATCAAAACAGTCAAAGGAACCTGCAGGTCTCCAGTCCTAGAGACCTCACAGAGGGGAACACCTACCTGTTTACTGGGTTGGCCAAGAAGTCTGTATGTTTTATCCATAAAATAAGAGACACTTTTTTTATTTTCACCAATAACTTAATTGGTTTGGATATTTTGAGTATGTCAGCTCTCTCCCACGTGGTATAATGTTGATTGTTCTCAGTTAATGTCTCGATTTGATTGCTATCAACTTCAAGTGGTCTGCCTGACCGTGGAGCATCGTCCAGTGAAAAATCTCCAGCATGAAACTTTGCAAACCACTTTCGACACATTCAGTTGGTCACAGCACCTTCTCCATACACTGCACAAGGTTTTTAAGTTTAAGTTGCATTTTTACCTTTCTTAAAATAATAAAGCATAATATGCCAAAAATGTTGACAATTTCTTCCATCTTCAGTATTAAAATGGCTACACAAAAATTCACCAATCTTGATAAGTTTTTTTTAATGCAACTGATGTGATATCTGTCATAATACAATCTAACAAAATTGTTTCAAGTGAAATTAAAGACAACTGAGCACTACTAGAGCCACCTTATGGAAAAAACCAAGTGGACTTTTTGGCCAACCCAGTGCCTTAGACGGCTTAGGGAGAGACAGATCTCAAGGAGCCTATTGACCAAAAGCCTGTTCTGTGTCTGAGTGCGGAAAAGCAGCGTGTGGTTTACTGGATGTAGACCAGCAGGGGCCTCGGACTCCCCAGAGAAGATCTCCACCCTCTGTGTACACAGTCCTAGCCCCAACCAAAACAAGCAGTGTTTTCACTTAGCACGGGGTCTGAGAACCACCCCCTCCATCTCATATAAATTCCTGCTGGCCTCATCCCCCAGCTGAACCTCTTGCTAGCAACACAGTGGCGCCTTCATTACCCAGATGCAGACACTCAAGGCAGGCGAATGGAAATGGCCCTGCCCACTGAGTGTCTTCTCGGCCCCTTATCCAAGGTAATGCTGGGGACTGTGGGCTTCTCGGGTGAATGGGTATGCGTCACTGTTATAGAAGCCAAATGTCTACCAGGATAGTCCTTCAGTCTGGGACACCTGAAGTTGCTTCTTTTTCTTTGGTCTATACAAGCTCAGTGATGCTGTTATTAGTAAACATGGAAAAGGCCCAAAACAAAAACAAACCAACAACAAAAAAAATGCCTGCCTGTAGCTTATGGCCTGGTTCTCAGAGGTAAGCCCCTGGACCAGCAACATCAGTATCCCCTGGTTACTTGTTTGAAGTTCAGATTTCCAGGCCCCACCCCAGACCACAGTCAGATACACTGGGGTGCAGGCCAGCAATCTGTGTTTCAATAAACCTTCCTGATGATTCTGATGCCTGATAAAGTTTGAGAGCATCTGGTGTATGGCATGGGCTGTAAACCCGGTTAGAAGTCAAGGAAGGATGGTTTTATTCAGTACAAACGGGTTAGACTAGAGAACAGTACATATCTTCAGGGCCACCTGCCAAACTCTGGTGCCTTGTGAGAGTTAGAGCAAGGCGCCCCCTTTAAGCAGATTCTGCAGGTGTTACTGGCTTGGGGCGAAATTTTAGCCTCATTCACCTCCTGGACTGTGCCTTCATGCAGGGCACTGAGTTGCACGCCCTGCTTGTGCAATGGCAACCCTGGCTGCCTTTCTAACTAGACCTGCAACCTCCCGTGTGTAAGTAAAAGTCAAAAAAAAAAAAAAGACATTTGTAGTTGACAGTGATCTTTTCTTGCCCAAGAATTTTAATTTTGTGTCTTTTCGGAGTTTTCAGCATTTTGCTGTCACATCACTATTTCCCTAAGCAGATGCTCTGCTGCTCATGTTCATGGTGGAGTGTAACCATCTCACTGTGGGAGGACTGGAGTTTGTCTGAATTTCAAAGGCTTGATTGGTCTTTATCCCTGAGCCTTGGGTGCCTCCTGCATGACTAGAACAGTAATCAGAGAAGTAACAGCACATTTCCAAAGATGAGGTGGATAAAAATAGGCAGCCCAGCTTCACAGAAGCATAGTTTGGATTCACAGCCTGACTGTATTTTGAGAGAGGAACACAGGATTACTAGAGGGAGGCTGTGGTTGAAGGGAACCTCATGAACGTTTTTGAAATCCCCTTCTCTCCAAAAAAACATCTGGGGGTCAGTTCTGACTGGCGCAGATGAAACCACCTCATGAAAATGACTTAGAAATCATCTTAGAGTCTCTAGCTCACAATGAGTGAAGCAAGCTCAAGGTGAAGATAGCATTAGCTGGCTGAGTTCACCACGCCTGCATTTTCCAATGGCCTCATGTGAACTTGAGTGCCGTGGCTCTTATGCAACATTTTATGTGTGTGTGCTTATTATGTTCATTTCTCTGGGGAGAGAACTCGTAACTTTCCATCAGATTTTCAAAGGGATCTGTGATCTACTCTCCACTCATTCAAATTAAGCACTATAGGAAAAATAATCACAACTGTAGATTACAATTCTGGATCTTAATAGTCTGAGTACGTGGAAAGGGTATGCACCAAGCTTTGAGGACTGGCTAGTTTCATTGCAAAAAAAGTGTAGCCACCCTAAGCTGTTTGTAACAAGCATTGTTGAATTTATCATCATTTTTAAAGGTTTAAATAGGGCACCTCCCAGAGGACGGCCACCGTTTCAGTGGAGCCAAAGCCGAATCAAATCTGATTCCTCATTGCTGGAGCCTCCCACCCCCGCCACCGCTGGCCCAACCCAGCCAGCAAGAAAAAAATGACTTCTATTTAGGCAAAGGGGCCTGGAAGTGGAGAGAAAATGTACGAAATATAACATACTGTGCCATTGCATGAGTTATTGAATTAGAGTTGTAAGCCTCTTTTTGAAAAGTTTTAATTGCCGCAAATGTGCAGCACAATGTGGGAAAACTCTTGCTTGTAGATGCTTGCTCCCTCGGCATTTGTGATTTTTCTCCGCATTCAACTGACTTCTGTCCCCAAAGCCTTTCAAATATATGATCTTGCCTCCACTTCCCATGAAATCAGCTTGCCTTCTTTAAAACTAAAATGATTGAAAGAAAACTGGCACCATAAACAAAGTTGAAAGACTCTGCAATATATGCTCACAATACTTGTACCTAACTTGTAACTTGTAGGAGAAAATACTTGTAATATATGTAGCTAACAGGATTAATACCTATAATATATAAAGAGGTACTATAAATAAAAAACCCAACAACTCAATAGAAAAAAACCGAACAGGTGAACAGTAGAAAGAGAAATGCAAATGGCCAATAA